CTCCGCATAGCTGCCTCCTTTTTAATCCTCAGATCTCAGCAAAAGTGTCACAGCCTCAGAGAAGCCTTCCCTGACCACCTGAGCAAAAGTAAATCTCTCTCTCTCTCTCTTTCTCAATCCATCCTTCCTATCTTGTTCTTTATAGTTCATATCTCCGTATACTGTTTTGTTTGTGTGCTTTTCTCTCTCTCGCACTAGAATGTAAGCTCCTAGAGGACATATTCATGTACTGATACATTCCACCTGGTACATAACAGGTATTAAATATTTGTTTGAATGAATGTAAGTAATGGGGTTTGAAAGTCTGATTATCTGACAGAAATACCAGGCATTTGATTCCATTGCAATGACCAGTAATTGTGAGTTAGAAATTATATAACTTTCTAAAAATAAAAATATCGAGTAAAGTTAATCAAAAAAAGACAGTGGTTTAAGCTGTCATTGCACTGGCTCCCAGCATCTGAGATCTGAGTGAAAGACCACAATTGTTATCCCTCTCACTGTTACGAAACTGTAATAGGCTAGGCACAGTGGCTCACGCCTGTAATCCCAGCACTTTGGGAGGCTGAGACAGGAGAATCACCTGAGATCAGGAGTTTGAGACCAGCCTGGCCAACGTGGTGAAACCCCATCTCTACTAAAAATACAAAAAAAATTAACTGGGTATGGTGGTGGGCTCCTGTAATCCCAGCTACTTGGGAGGTTGAGGCAGGAGAATCACTTGAACCCAGGAGGCGGAGATTGCAGTAAACCAAGATTGCACCACTGCACTCCAGCCTGGGCAACAGTGTGAGACTCTGTCTCAAAAAAATAAAAAAAGAAAAGAAACTATAATAATTACTATTTTGGCTCAGATGAAGCTATTCTTATTAATTTTCAAAATGTTTTTGATATTTAATTGCTTTATCAAAAAAATCAGTAATCTGTCGATGAGTTACATATTTTCCAATTTCTCTTCTTCTCTACACTGCGCTCTGAGAAGCTGACTTTTATCAACCGTATAAACGGGGATGCTTGAGCTCTAACTTCTGGTTGGCTGAAGCAATGACAGCCAACAGCAAGACATCAAAAAGGGGATGAAGAATGGAGCTTGAAGAATATCCTGTAGCCCCTCCCTGGCTGGATCACAACAGGCTGGCTAGGTTGCCTTATCAAACTGAAACCGCCTTTGCAAAATTATCACTGAGACAGTGAAAGAGATTTAACTTAACCGACTCCATCTTGCTTCTAACCTCCTTGTTCATTCCTGGGCATAGGCTGAACTAACTTTGGGAGAAACTTACAGTTTAAAACAAAGATGATAACAGCCCTTTCCCAAAGCAGACCTCCTTCTTGCCTGGGAACTAGATTCTCTTTGTAGGACTAACATTAGCTAGAAGATTAGAAATTATGGTTTAAGAGTCATGCAACTGGAGGCTTCAAGATTTTCTTCAGATATCTCAGTGCTCGAGATATTTTGCAGACCCTGCACTTGCCGGATCAGCTGGCACTCAGATCGATTAACTGGCTAATATGATCTTGTGGCTTCCACCCAGGAAGCTGACTCAGCACAAGAAGACAGCTTCAACTCCCTATGGTTTCATTTCTGACCTGACCAATCAGCACTCCCGGGTCACTGGCTTCCCCTAACCCACTAATTTGTCCTTAAAAATTCTGCTCCTGGCCGGGTGCAGTGGCTCACGCCTATAATCCCAGCACTTTGGGAGGCTGACGTGGATCACCCGAGGTCAGGAGTTTAAGACCAGCCTGACCAACATAGTGAAACCCTGTCTCTATTAAAAATACAAAATTAGCCAGGCATGGTGGCACATGCCTGTAATCTCAGCTACTTGGGAGGCTGAGGCAGGAGAATCACTTGAACCCAGGGGGCAGAGGTTGCAGTGAGCCAAGATAGCATAACTGCACTCCAGCCTGGGTGACAGAGCAAGACTGAAAAAAAAACACAAACAAAAAAATCTCTGCTCCCCAAATGGTTGGGGAGACTGGTGTGAGTGATAATAAAACTGTCTCCCACACGGCTGGCCCTGTGTGAATTACTCTTTCTCTATTGCAATTCCCCTGTGTTGATGAATCAGTTCTTTCTAGGCAGGGGGCAAGGTGAACCCCTTGGGCGGTTACAAATTCAAAGGCCACAGTTCCTTTCAGGTGGCTTCACCTGTGGTCACTCTCGCAAGGTTTTGGTTTTGCCCTCCAGGACTAGAAGAGGTAAGGGCTTCCTGCTATTGTAGCGCTACAGTGTTGAACTGCCCTTACCCTTGCTCTGCCCTAACTCTGTCCACATCTTTGCGAACAGCTCCTTTATTAACTTCTCCTTGCTTCTCCTGTTTGAACTTGCCCAACTCTTAACCTGCTTGGATCCTGAGTCATGCATTGTATGCCTCAGACTCCTGAGAATTTGAAAGTCACAGGTCTATAACCTAGAAACAAATTAAAGCAAGTGTTTCTAGCCAATGGGAAATTTTAACAATGTATAACAATCCATGAGTATGGGCACTGTTATTTCCAATTTGGAGTGTGATATTATAAAACAAGCTATGAAAAGAAACTAAATAAAAAGAGCACGTGTTATTTTCTCAAAGAACACGTTGAGAGTTAAGAGCAATCCTATTTGAAAATAACCTACACATGATAGGATAATAAAGTAGGGGCTCACCTGGCTTAGCTCCGTTCTGTTCCTGCGAAAGCCACACATTCATATAAATAAGATATACTTGTTTTATATATATTTATTATATTTTAAAACATGGGTCTACATACAGCTCATATGTTACATTATGAATTAACAGCATGATTTAAGAAAAGTAATTTTGTTAATTATTTTTATAAAACCAACCCAGAGCAACAATCTATGATAACTTTTACTTTGTATGGTAGCTATGGTAGGAAGTGGAGGAGATTCTGAGCTAGAGGAAACTATATTAAAGTGGGCACAGCAAACAGAGAGGAGAGAGGGAAAAATATCTTGGCCTTAGCCTAGCCCTGCCTACAAATCACTTAAAAAAGACTTTCATTCCCAATAACCTTGCATTCAAAGATAAACCATGAATAGCGGGAACCTCCTAAAAGCCTTGACTAACGGGAAATCCTGAAAGCTTTGCCTCCAGAGATAAGCCACAAAAACAAGAACATCCTGTTTTCCTTACCAAAAAAACAGGAACATCTTGTTCTTATCCAATCGGAATGAACTGCCATATCTGAGCTATAAATATCTGCAATTTCATCTGAGCTATAAATTCCTCTCATTCTATTTAGCGAGCCACTCTCTAAAGGTCTGATTTTCTTGAACTGCAAGTAAAAATGTCTCTCTGTGCTCATATTTATCTTTGAATTTTATTTTGACAAAGGGTTCCTGAACTGATTTTTGCCGGGGAGTCCTGAAGTTGGATGCACCCAGTGCTGGCTTCATGGGTGGGTAAAATGTGCAGTCACACGGGCCCCACCCTGGGTTTAGTGCTCTGCTATCACCATCTTAAAATTCGTAATTTTTTTTTTTTTTTTTTTTTGAGGCAGAGTCTCACTCTTGTCGCCCAGGCTTGAGTACAGTGGTGCGATCTCGGTTCACTGCAACCTCCGCCTCCTGGGTTCAAGCAATTCTCCTGCCTCAGCCTCCTGAGTAGCTGGGATTACAGGCACCTGCCACCACGCCCAGCTAATTTGTTTGTAGTTTTAGTAGAGACAGAGTTCCGCCATGTTGCCCAGGCTGGTCTCGAACTCCTAACCTTAGGTAATCCGCCCACCTCGGCCTCCCAGAGTGCTGGGATTACAGGCGTGAGACATGTGCATTTTAGCTTTCTAGATCAGGTGAGGACACACGGGCAAATGGCTCAAGGGTCAAATCCAGTCCAATGCCTGTTTCTGAACAGCTTGCAACTTAAGGATGGCTTTTACATTTTTTAATGGCTGAAAAAGATCAAAACATGAGTATTTCATGACAGTTGAAAATTACATAAACTTCAAACTTCAGTGTTTAGGATAAGGTTTTATTGGAACACAGCCCCACCCATTCATACTGTCTATAGCTAATTTTAAGCTACAAGTTGAATAGCTGTGACCAAGCCAGCATGGCCCACAAAACCTAAATAGTTCTTGTTTGGCTCTGGGAAGCTAAAAGACAACAGAGAAAGATTTCTCCAAAGATACTGAGTTTCTCTGGGAATGAGCAAAAACAATTATAATCCAAGATGTACAGCTATGGCAAGCCACAGGTCTGGAGAAGGGAAGAGCAGGGGGAAGATTTTACTGGTAAAGTAGAGAAGTTCACATAAACGTCTTGGAAACAAAGTTGATTGGTTCCTGAGACTCAAATCAAGAAGTGTAGTTCGTTCATTGTTGGAGGTGCTGCTGCTGGGCCAAACATCCTTTCGTCTTGCCAAAGGGTTCCTGAACTGATTTTTGCCGGGGAGTCCTGAAGTTGGATGCACCCAGTGCTGGCTTCATGGGTGGGTAAAATGTGCAGTCACACGGGCCCCACCCTGGGTTTAGTGCTCTGCTATCACCATCTTAAAATTCGTAATTTTTTTTTTTTTTTTTTTTTTTTGAGACGGAGTCTTGCTGTCGCCCAGGCTGGAGTGCAGTGGCACAATCTCGGTTCACTACAACCTCCGCCCCCCGGGTTCAAGCGATTCTCCTGCCTCAGCCTCCTCAGTAGCTGGGATTACAGGCGCCTGCCACCATATCCGGCTTTTTTGTTTTTCTGTATTTTTAGTAGAGGCGGGGGTTTCACCACATTGGCCAGGCTGGTCTCAAAACTCTCGACCTCGTGACCTGCTCACCTCGGCCTCCGAAAGTACTGGGATTACAGGTGTGAGCCACCGCGTCCGGCCTTGAGACAGTTCTTATCTGAGACATGGGAGCATGAGTTCCCTTCCTTTATGGTCTCTGGACTCCAATTTGTCTGGGTCTGACAGTAGTTACTTCTCCTGGAATCTGCAACTTTCAGAGCACTTTATGGAAAAAGTCGGCCAACCCCTGCCCTACACTCACTCCTGATCACTCTCCAGTGTAGCCATCCCAAACTATTTGCAGACCACCCTTTTCTCTCTGATCTGTATCCCACCCCCTCAACCATGGGTGCTTCCATAGAACTAACCCCGTCTAAGCATTTAACAGTTATTCTAATTACCCTTTTACTTTTTTTTTTCTTTTTTTTTTGAGGCAGTCTCACTCTGCCTCAAGTGTTCACCACTCAATCCTTAGCACCCAGCACGATCCCTGGCCCTCGTTCAGCGCTTAATAAATGCATGTTCATAGAATGTGCAGCATCCTGAACAGGCGAACAGCAGTGGGTTCCAACTTTCAAGGAACTTAAAAAAGGAACCCGGCATATAAACAACAGATTAATCTACAAGGAAGAATGGCGGGGCGGGTGCGGGAAGCACTAAAAAGCAGCAAATACTCTGCAGCAGAACCAAAGAGAAAATTCCACCTACAGGTGCCCTTTCTTCAGGAACCTTCCTAATGTGAATACAGGTTCCCTTCTCCTCCATGACGAAATTCTTAGTGCGGTTACTTGTTGGTACGCAGTGTCCTCATCTGTAAAATAAGACTAATGACGATTTCACCGGATTATAATGAATACAGTTAAGTATTGAACTAAGGCATAGAAAGCACGTAGCTCAGTGCACGCTTCCTAGAAAGTGCTCAGTAAACTCCGATCCTCTAAAACGCTCCGTTTGATGTTAATGGAGTCCGTATCCGAGCGGGTCTCCAGTGTGCATCGCCAAGGCTATGGCCCAGCATGCAACGTATCCTTTTAGTAAGAGCAGCGACTTCTCAGCTCTCCCTTCGCCACAGGAGAGTTCTCGGCTCGCGGCGTCGCAGCGGGACTGAGCGCTGGGCTGAACTCCCGAGAAACCTCCTGCAGCTGCACCGGAGCAGACGCCGGACAGGTGAAAGAACTACAACTCCCGTCAGATTGCACCTGAACTTAGGGCCTCTTTATATTTTATCACACCCAGCCTCCTCCGCGCAGCCCTCAGTGGCTCCGCCCCAAGGAGGGGATCTCTTCTTTCCTTGTGGAGTCCGAAGCGTGGCCACGCCCCGGTCACCGGAAAAATCCGTGTGACGTCACAAAAACCTACGCGTCGCGCGGTGGGCGGGAGTTGGCGGACGGTCCCTGGCTGCGTTCTGGAGGCCCTGGGACAGCGGAAGAGGCTTCAGACGCTGCAGCGATGCCTCGCCCACGGCGGGTCAGTCAGCTCCTGGATCTGTGAGTCTACCCTGTTCCGCCTCCCTTCGCGCCGCCCCAGCACCTCCTCCAAACGGCCAGGCCCTGCGCTGCTCTTCCTCCCCGCCCCTTTCCCACCCCCCCGACCTCTGAAGAGGCCCCGCGTGTGTTTCTGTCCCTGGGTTCCTGATCTATCGTTTCCTGGCTGAGGACAGTTGTGCCAAGTGGGTCTCTTGGCGGGTTTGCCCCTCCGAAACTCCGCTGCGCGTTCAGTGTCCATTCCTCAGTCAGCCTTGACAGCTCGGCGCCCCGGCTCTTCCTGGCAGTGGCCTCTCTCTTAGCAGCTAAAAACCTTGGTAGAAAAAAACACAACACTAGATGAGGTTCTCAAAAGCTTCTAGCAGAATTCCACCCCTGTAACTGGAATAAACATTGACACACCCTCGGATAAACGTAGCACAGTGATTAAGAGCACAGATCCCTGGCTGAGATTGCTGGGTTCAGCCCCCGGCTCTGCCATTCACCAGCCACGTGACCATGGACGGGTAACGTAACCTCTGCCTGTGCCTAAGTTCTTTATCTATAAAATTTTTGTGATAATAGCACCCTTCTCATGGAGTTGTTCTGAGGGATAAATTTAACACATGTAAAACCCTTATAAGGATGCCCAGCAAATAATAAACACCATTAAATGTTATTATTATTTCCTGCCAGAAATTGTACTGAAATTACAAGGGCAATTGCGTCTCTCCAGGAGCTTTCAGTCCTGTTAATATTGCCATGTAAAAAATAGACATCTTAAGGATAAGGAAAACAAGCTCCTTAATCTACTGAAGGCTTTCTAAAACAATGGCATCTGAGATTTTACATTAAACTCAGGAGGCCGAGGTAGGATAATTGCTCGAGCTCAGGAGTTCGAGACCAGCTTGGGCAATGTGGCAAAACCCCGCCTCTACTGAAGATAAAAAAACTATCTGGGCATGGTGGTTCACGCCTGTAATCCCAGCACTTTGGAGGCCGAGGCACTTGAGATCAGGAGAGTTGGAGACCAGCCTAGCCAACATGGCAAAACCGCGGCGTCTACTAAAAATACAAAAATTAGCCAGGAGTAGTGGTGGCGCTGGTAGTCCCAGCTATTCCGGAGGCTGAGGCAGGAGAATCGCCTGAACCCGGGAGGCAGAGGTTGCAGTGAGCTGAGATCGCGCCATTGCACTCCAGCCTGGGCGACAGAGGAAGACTGACTCAAAAAAATAAAATAAGTAACTATCATACATGTAGAATAATATCACAAGCGGGAGAGTAACAAACTTGATATTTCTAATAAGGAAAAGAATAGAAGGAAGCTTTGTAAAGGGGGTTATTATTTTTAGGATCTGACAGTTGCAAAACAAATAGGAGGAAGTGCATCCAAGAGAGTGAAATAAAGAGTAAAGGTTTGATAGGCAGGAAAGGAAGAAATATGAGAGAAGACCAGAAAGTAGCGCTCCAATGTGAATGGAAGATACAATATAAATAGCATAGCAGTGAGACATAAAGCCAAGTCATTGGGAATAGAATCTTAGGGACCAGGATGAAATAAAAGCATTTCCTGTTTTAGTCATGGGGAGCTATCAAAGGTTTTAGAACTGTGCTGTGAGCAGAGATTTGAATTAGGCAGAAGTTGGAAACAGGGAGACACTTAGGAGACTTACAAAATCTTAAGAAGTGGAGAGCCCAAACCAGGAGACGTGAAGATGTTCTTTGCAGAATTGTTTCTGGTGGCATGGAGGTGGAATGGGAGAGGTACCACGGAATATTATGCAGCTGTTAGAAAAGCAGAGGGTAGGCCAGGCATGGTGGCTCACACCTGTAATCGCAACACTTTGTTTGGGAGGCTGAGGAGGGTGGATTGCTTGAGACCAGGAGATCGAGACCAGCCTAGGTAACATGGCAAAACCGTGTCTCTACCAAAAGTAAAAAGCCAATCTCATAACCTGGTCTCAAAATAAATAAATAAAAATTAAATTTAAAAAATGAAAGAAAAGCAAAGGGTAGATTCACATGGATGGTACTTTAAAACACAGTGCTTAGTGAAAAAAGAGGAAACAGACTAACAATGTTAAGAAAAATTCTTCAGAACTTGGAGGTAAGACAAAGGGATGAGCACGTGATCTTCATTGTCATGTTAGAGTGTAGTCCCTGTGTAAAGGTCCATATTTGCCCTTAGAACCTAATTTTGTACCCTTCTGGGACAAGGTACAATCTGAGACTGGCAGTTGATCAGCAAGCTATTTCTGGTTTGTAACAAAGAAGCTTGAGCCAGACTAGTAATTAACTGTGTCACTAAGCACACTATTTAGTCCAGCTGATGAGGCTTTCTCCATGAAGGAGCCGGGGCTTGGTTTATGTTCTTACATAAACTCCTTGTCTCCTCACTGACCAGCACTTTAACACTGCCTTAGAGAATCCTTTGGATCTGAGACATGAATAGTTTTGAATAGAGGGACCATTCAACTCTTAGCTGGGCGCCGTGGCTCACACCTGTAATCCCAGCACTTTGGGAGGCCAAGGCAGGTGGATCACCTGAGGTCGTGAGTTCGAGACCAGCCCGACCAACATGGAGAAACCCTGTCTCTACTAAAAATACAAAATTAACTGAGCGTGGTGGCGCATGCCTGTAATCCCAGCTCCTCGGGAGGCTGAGGCGGGAGAATCACTTGAACCCCGGAGGCAGAGGTTGTGGTGAGCCGAGATTGCGCCATTGCACTCCAGTTTGGGCAACAAGAGCCAAACTCTGTCTCAAAAAAAAAAAAAAAAAAAAGAAATTACTCTGTTAGTTTTTAGCTTCATTGACAGGTAGAATGGTGATTAGACTATTACAGAGAAAGAAGTGTCTTATGGGGAAAATGAATCAGAATATCCAGTAGAAATATCAAGCAGGCAGTTAGAATATAATTTTGAATCTGAAAGAGAGATCAAGGATTAGGCTGGGCGCAGTGGCTCATGCCTGTAATCCCAGCACTTTGGGAGGCCAAGGCAGGCAAATCACTTGAGCTCAGGAGTTCGAGACCAGCCTGGCCAACATGGTGAAACCCTGTCTCTACTAAAAATGCAAAAAAAAAATTAACCAGGCATGGCAGTGCACACCTGTATTCCCAGTTACTTGGGAGGCTGAGGCAGGAGACTTGCTTGAAACCGGGAGGCAGAGGCTGCAGTGAGCCAAGATGGTGCTACTGCACTCCAGCCTGGGCAACAGAGTGAGACTGTCTCTAAATAAATAAATAAAATGAAGAGAGGTCAAGGATTGTAACTAAGATTGGGGATAAAACTTTGTAGATGATAGGAAGCCATGGTTAAGTTTAAGAGAGGGGCTATAGAGAGAAAAAAAGAAAGTCAAGGACAAAATTTTATGTAACACTTAACATTAGAACCAGCCCATGTTGCCAAAACTCTTTTATTTGTTAGATCAAGTCGCCATATGATGAATTGACCAAATAGTAATAGGTTGTTTCTTTTAAGTATAAAATGTAGAGCAACTAATATTGTATGGGATATCCGCCCGTCTCCCTAATTGTTTTACAGCTTTTAAAGATTTTAAGTTTTAGCTGACTTCTTTTCATTTTGTCTTGAGAAATGAGACTGCCTGTGCCAACTGTTGGGCCTGAGAATCAGCACCACTTATGTCAACATAACTTTCTGCTCTAGGAAATTTTTCAAATCAGTTTATCTAAATAAACAGCTATCAGGACAGACATTTTGATTTTTAGGACAAACAGTCTGTTTATCTGTACAGATTGCTCAAGGCTGGCTTCTTGTGTCCCTCAGTTTTAAACTACTAAGTCACAAACTTTGCCTAATCCTTACCCATTCGGGGGAGAAACACCCACTTAAACTGGTGGAGTTTGTATCCCAGAACCCTATGTATACTCCTGCCTAACTTTCCCCAGTTGAAATGCTACCCAAACCCTGTCAAGGTGATCTCCATTGCTGTAGTAAATTTGGTATATGATTTGACGAATTTAATAAATCTGTTTGACCAGCAGGGTTTCTGGATGGGCTTTATGGCCATTTAATAGTCCTCCCAGAATTTTAAAATCTATTTGATTTGTTTCTGTCCCAACTCCCTGCTATTGCAGCTGGAGGGAACTGGAGCAGAAAGAGGAAACCATTTACTTTGGGAGACACATGGTACAGCCTCTGCACTGCTGAGCTCCAAGAAGAGCATACTAAAGGGCTAAGATGAAAAAGACTGAGAGGAAAAAGGTGGTGGTGGAGGGCAGAGAGCTATGTTGTGGGAAAAAGGTAATATATTGAAATATACCTGAAATCTGCATAAAGCAAAATATAGTAGTCTCTCCTTATCTGCTGTTTTGTTTCAGCAGTTTCAGGTACCATGAAACTGCCAACCATGGTAAAAAAATATATATATGTTAAATGGAAAATTCTGGAAAGAAACAATTCATAAATTTTAAATTGTGCACCATTCTGAATAGCAAGATGAAATCTCACACCATCCTGCCCTGTCTGCGAGGATGTGAATTCTGCCTTTGTTCAGTATATCCATGCTGTCCATGCTGTTCATTTAGTAGCCTTCTTGGTTATCAGAGCTATTGTCGCAGGGCTATTGCATTCACATAACCCTGATATTACTTAATAATTGCACCAGAGCACAAGAGTACTGATGTACATGTATTTTTTAATTTTTCCACCCAATCCCTATAGATACTGTTATAACTCTTCTATTTTATTATTGTTGTTGTTCATCTCTTACTGTGCCTAATTTATATATTAAACTTTACCATAGGTATGTATGCGTAGTAAATGCAGGGTGTGTATAGGATTTAGGATTCAGTACTATCCATGATTTCAGGTGTCCACTGGGAGTCTTAGAATATATTTCCCATGGATAAGGGGGATCTGCTATATAACAGGAGTGATTGTCAGTCACTTCAAATGCTTTGCTTTTCTCTAATCCTCTACTCAGAGAGGTCACATGCAAGAGGAACAAGAGCATTTTTACAAAGTTTATACGGACTTACCTTATTTCCCCCCTTGACTGGCGT